AACATGTCATGCTATTATTACAGCTGCACACTTCGCAGAGGAACGTGATGTATCGACTCGTCACACACACACACACACACACACACACGTCATACATGCACGCACGCACGCACGCACGCACGCACACACACACACACGACATGCACGCACGCACGCACGCACACACGAAACAGCAAACGATAACCACTAAACAGAGTGCAACACATCCAGGCGACACTGATCGGTCCACGGTTAGACATCTTGCTTCTCGCTCCCTCTCAATCACTCTAGCCCCCCTTCTCTCTCGCCCCCTCTCTCCTCTCTCGCGCTCTCTCTCTCTCTCCTCTCTCGCTCTCTCTCCCTCTCTCTCGCTCTCTCTCGCTCTTTTTCTCCCCCTTCCATGCACACTCGCACTTTCTCACACACATCTCTTTCCTTCTCCCCTTCTCATTCCCTCTTCTTCTTCTTCCCATCTTTCTCTCGCGCGCACCTCTTTCTATCTGGTTACCCTCTTCCCTAGCTTATTGTCATTCTCGCTTACTGTCCCCGTTAGATCTGTCCCTTGCTCTATCTCTCGCTCGCTCTCTCTTTCTCTCTCGCACTCTCTCTCTCTCTCTGTCTCTCTCTCTCTCTCTATCATATTTATCGGCTCACTGATGCTAAATCTCTCTCCTCTCTCCTCTCTCCTCTCTCTCGTCTCTCATTCTCTGCTCTCCTATATATATATATATATATACTATATATATATATATAATACTATATATATACTTTTTATCGCTCTCTTATTCTAATACTCTCTCTCTCTCTCCTTCTCTCTCTCGTCATCTCTCTCTCCTCTATATATATATAATATATATATATATATAATGATAGATTATATATATATATTATATCTATGCTGTCTCGCCTCTCTTCTCGCCTCGCTTGCATATCTCGCGATAACTCTTTCTCCGCCGCCCGCTATCTGTCCTCTCCACCCCATTCTCTTTCCTCCTCTCTATATAAGTATTACTATATCTATCTCTCTATCCTCTCTCTCTCTTCTCCCTCATCTCGTCTCTCATCTCCGTCTCTCTCTCTTCTCATCCCTCTCTCCTCTCTCTCTCTCTCTCTCTCTCTCTCTCTCTCTCTCTCTCTACTCGTCCCTCTCTCTCTGCTCGTCCGTATGCTCTCTCTCTCTCCTTCCGTCTCTCTCTCGTCTCTCTCGTCTCTCTCTTCTCTATCTCCTCTCTCGATCCCATCTCTTTCTCCTTTCTACTCTCCTCGATCCTCTCCTTCCCTCTTAGTTGGTTTACTGGCGTCACCCCTTGATGTGTGTACTCTATCTCTCTCCCTCTCTCTCTCTCTCTCTGCTCTCCATCTCCCGCATTCCATTCCTTAAGCGCCTGTCATCTGCTCTGCTTCTGCAGCACGGCTGTAAATCCTATAAGGACCACTAAAGAACGACTGTGCTGTCCTGTGCTGTAAGCGGGACCCCACGTGCTGATGCACTGCATGCCCGAGCGGCGGTCGGCCCTACTGCTGGCGGAGAGAATCGCTCTGACGCGCCCACGTCACAACACAGATGACGCGGGAGAACGCTCGTGCTAACAGATAAAGCTCCAGCGGTACAGAGAAGAGAAGGCAAGGAGGGAATTAGAGAGACGAGATAGAGAGAGAGAGAGAGAGAGAAAGCAAAAAGGGAGAAGAGGGAGGTGGAGGTAGAGAGCATAGAGTCGAGATAGCATGCTAAAAAAAGAGAAAGAATGCAGGAATCGAGAGGGAATACAGACATAGACATATAGAGTTAGAGATATATAGGATTGACAGTCACAGAGATCAGATGTAGATAGATTAGATAAGATCGATAGGAATGATTAGATAGAGAGGAGAGAGTAGAAAGGCGAGAGAAATGAGAGAGTGAGAGAGGAGAAGAGAGAGAGTGATGAGAGAGAGAGAGAGAAAGTGAGGAAGGGGAGAGGAAAGCGAGATGGTGGAGACAGATAAAAAGAGAGGAGAGAGGGAGAGAGAGAGAAGAGATGAAGCGAGAGATAAATCAGACTAGAGAGAGAAGGAGGCGGAAGAGAATAGTGGAAGAGG